TTAAAATTATAACAGCAATAGAAAAAAAAAAGTCTTATCAAATCCCACCCCCAACAGAAACTGTAAAAGAATGTACAACTAAAAGAGGCATTATAGTAGGGGGGAAAAACTGACTTCAGAAATATGCTGCGCACACTGCTGAAATATAGCCTACAATACTACAGATGGCCAATGCCGACAAGTGCACACTTACTGTGTAAACAGAATTCAAAGCAACATTCATATTCATGCAATGGACATAAAGGGCCATTGCTTCCAGAATTAAGTGCCCATAATGCTTCTTACACAAACCCCAGCAACCTTCACCGCATTATTCACACCAGTGTCTTCACCTTTGATGCCACCTCTGAAATACATAGGTAAGTAAAAAATTTAAGGTACTTTTGTAAGTTCTGGTCCATCACACTAGCAAACTAAATTACAGAATAACTGTTAGCACTGTCCAGTGTGATTCAGTCTGTAGATATTTACTGCCCTTACATGTTTTGGTCAGATGTGACCATCTTCAGCTTCCGGAACTACTGTTACAAAGCTGATAATACATACTTAGAAGTTATTATATGAAAAGTTACTTACACTTATTTGCATTAAAATCTTATTAATGTCAAACATTTAAGACCTCAAAATAGCCAAAAATGAAACAAGTAGACATCACAACACATAGAATCTAATGAGTTAAAAGGTGGGCATCAATGTGTGGACTTCTGAGGAAACCAAATAATACCATAACTTTCCATTTTAACAGAAGAGGCACAAGGACACAAACCATATAGGTCCAAGATCTTCAATATTAGACATTAATGAGATTTTTAATCCATATAATTGTAGATTTTTATATAATAACTTTTAAGTATGCATAATGAGCTTTGCAATAGTAGTTCCTGAACATGCCTTCTGAAAATGGTAACAGCTAACCGAAACATGTTAAGGCAGTAAATATCTACAGACTGAATCACAATGGATGGTCTTATCAATTATTCTATAATTCAGTCTGCCAAAATAATATCCATCTATTCCAATGCTTTTGGTTCATGGCCCATAAACTTTCTGATTCTGTTAAGAAGTTTTTCATTAGGTTTTCAGCCACTTTCTGTGCCACTTTTTCCATCAGCAACAGGAATTTCAAAAGCATCTTCATCACTGCTGATTCTCTGGTTGCCCAGATATATCGATTGAGCTGCTACTTAAATTTAACACATCTGACAGCTGACAACAACCCAGAAGACACATCAACAACACCCATTTACACGCTGAATCTTTCCACCGACCACGAGCACTCATTTATCACCAAACTGGACTGTCATTCTTCTGCAAATGCACCAGACTTCATAGCTTCTGCCTGCAAAAATGACACCACAGATTCCCACCCTTGTGCATTCTACTGATGGAGCAGGTATGTTACACAAGGCACAGTATCATCACTCCCCAAGAGGACAAAATAAACTGGGTGCAAATGAGGCAAGTTTCATGCTGTTAACATCTGCCTTGTCTTTCAGTGCTACCAGCAACACTTTTGAGGTAAACTGCCTTTAATTTTTCACTTTCCTTTGTATTTCAGATCATAGCTGTACATGTTACACCCTGAAAGTCAATATTAGATTCGATTTTCATCACCACCATCTTGAACACAGTGGTCCCCCAGTCCAGTTTCCTCACTCTCATGCAGGGTGGCATTCTGTACACAGGTAATCATTTGGTATGGCCCTTGTCCACTGCATATAACAGATCCAACGTGTCCATTGTAATCTGATTCAACCATTCTAATTGGAGAAACACTGGACCATGTAATGGTGGACCCTAGTATTCGCAATGGCAATGAATGTATTACAAAGAAGTTGGATTGCTCACATAGGTTAAGTGCGGTGGATTGGATGAGTAAGTTATCACACTGAAAATTAAGGAAAACTTAAAACTACACATTAAACCACATATAACTAAGATTCTATCACATAAAGTAAGGCTTGAAACATTACTGTCTGTACACTGGAGTCACTAAGTTGCCAAGCAACAGCAACAGTTGATAAATTGCCCAAAAGCAGTGGGATAATAACAATAATATTAATAAAAAGGGGCAGTATAGCAGTTTCATTTCGAAGGATATCAAAATTATCATCGGAATTAAACTTTCAAGAACAGAGACATTCCAACTGTTCTGAAATAAATATAACATCTGGCAGTACATCGGATTCAAATGGTTTTTAAGACGGGGTTAAAGATGAGGGCTTTTTGAACACAGTAAGGAACCCTTATATTCCAAAAAATATTGGGAATACCTGAAGCCAGCTAAGTGACTATAAGCTTCTCAAAGCTTCTGCTCCAAAGAGTGAGAATAACTGACACCATTTGGCAACCCTACAGCTCAGTTTAGAATATTAAATGTTTGAAATCTGGACATACTCATAGGATGTTTAGACACATGAAAAAGTGCAAAGTATAAGTAACACATAAAGAAGCCAGCAGGTAAGAGGCCATTTCTGAAGGTGACAGTATGGGCAGAAGACATCAGTACACTGAGATGATGACTCCACTTACACAAATACCGTTCCACACAAATGCTCACAACACTCAGTAAAAAAAAAATTTAGAATTATTTTAAATCTGTGCTCAAAACTATACACTCTAAACAAGTGAAAGTGCAGTATTATTATGGAGCAGTGATCACAACAAATTCCAAATAAATAAACCAATATTACTGTGTTAGTATTTCTTTATTATTCTGTATCTGCCACATGTTTTCATCCAGCTGGATCATCAACAGGCAGTTTTCATGATACACTACATAGCGATACACAACAGATGCATACAACAAGGATACTGAAAATGCGATTAGCCATACAAGTGCAGTGTTGAAAATTCTGATTTACACAAAACAGCGTGTGACATCAGTTGAAATTTTATTTTGACTGCATAGTCAAGAAACATGGGGGGCCTTTCTTTTTCCTTCATTTGAAGTTCTTAGTAAATTGTATACATTATTTACACAAGAAAGAGCAGCTCTGACAACCTAAAATGGAGGTTTGGCTGTGTTGGAATTAAATGTAGCACTTCTGGGTTAAATAAATCATAAATAAAAATGCAAATAAAATAAACTGATGTAACTGAGCAAGAAGTGAGAACAGCATCTGTGGGTGGTCTAACTATAGTGCTTATAAATATACAAGATAAGCTCTAATTACAAAGTAAGGCCTTTTCACTGCTAATCAACACATACTATCTCAATTAAGCAATATAGGAACTGGTTAAAGCTTGATGTGCTGTGATATTTCAACTAAAGACTAAGTTCTGCTTGATTAACTGTTGGGTTACTTTAGAGCATGGCAGTCGTTACTTTAGAGCATGGCAGTCGTTACTTTAGAGCATGGCAGTCCCTCACCAAAAGTGGAGGGGAGAGGGTCTTAAAAACAATACACTTAAGAAAACTAAGGTTACAAGTTAACTCTGTGCTGGGGGACTGTGGCCACTTGTAATACATAAAACCTAGCAAAGCTCTCTCTTGCTTCACAAAACTGTGTAGAGAAATGTATAAGGTTTTATGTTCTCAGGGTAACGAATGTAACATTCCTCTGAAACATAACGGCATGCACCTTGGTAGGTTGGCACCAATGTTCTGGATGTGGCAGCTTCCTTGGAAACACTGGTACCTATCTACCAATCTACACAGCATCACCTTATATCAGATTTCTAGAAGCTAAACACAGCATTGACAACAATGGTTCTGTCCACGACCTTCAGAATCCACTATTTCTGACATACACAAATTACAAGCCATGAGCAGGTAAAACTGAGGTGGGCAACTGACAAAATTTGAAGCAACTGGAAAACCATGAAGATCGAAATCTGTGGTTGGCAAGGACCTGCTGTACTATATATCTTACTCAAGTGGGTAATCATTTTAATCCTAATTTTGTTGCTGCATGTAATACATGGCCATATGCTCTGTGTTTCAATTTAGATGAGATCTTCTTGAGAAGCCACCAGTTGTGCAGCTACTCAAGAATTTTCCAACATTTTATGGAACCCTAAGGCTCACTACCATGTTCACAAGAACCCTCCACTGATCCCTATCCTAAGTCAAGTCAATCCGATCCATATCAGCATATCTCTCCAGGATCCATTTTAATATTATCCACGCACCTACATCTTGGTCTTCCTAGTGGTATCCTTCCTTCTGGCTTTCAAACCAATATCCTACATGCATTCATCTGCCCCCATTCATGCTATATGCCCTGCCCATGTCATCCTCCTTGACTTGATCATTTTAATTACACGTGGTAAAGAATACATACGCTGAAGCTCCTCATTATGCAGGTGTTTCATTTAAAAATTAAATTTTAATGTCAGCACAGTGTTTGAATAGGATGAGGGGGCTGGCCTACTGAACAAATGACTACGTGTTCCTGAGTCATGTTTAGATTATGAACACATCCATACTTAGGAATGTCTCCTGTCCGGCGGGTAATGGGGCAGTCTGCAACTACTCTTGTGAACTGGTAGTATCAACACTGCTTCACAGTAAGTACTCATGATGCTACGTTAAGAAGATGGGCATGATTACATTTAATCATTTAGTTACAAGAGGGAACATGTCTGCTTTTTATCCATTCCACATGTTCTCTTTTCTAACTAAGAAATTAATTTATTAATAATGAATTCTACAGGGATGACAGTTACGCTTGAAAATCTTAGAAAGCCGCCATTACCATATGGGCCAATGCAATTCCCAAAGTTGTTTCAAAATTAATAATTTCAGGTCATGCATATCCTACGGCGGAATTTGGAACCATATTTATTACAACACACATACAGAAGTGGAAGCTTCAAAGGAAGAAGAATTGTTACTCGTGAGCACCATCATTTCTTCTCTTTGTGTCAGAAACAGAGAAGAGATGTTCATGTCTCTGGGTATTAACCAGTGGTGAAGAGTGGAAAACTGTTCTTTCTAAGATTTTCATACCTAAACTTCAAAGGCGGAAGAAAGGAGAATATGGTTACAGATTTACCCCAGTTTGAGGGCCTGTCCACCTGCCCTTAGTCCCTCCTCGCCTAGAAGGGTGACCTGCTCTTCCTCCCGGCTGGGATCCGCCATCTGCGAGGAGGAGGATGTTGGGTAGCAGTAGCCGTATTCAGCCTGGCAACAACAACCAACCCCACCCCCTGTTGTTGCACATCGTGCAAGGCTCAAAACACAATCACGCATTCTGCTCTCAACACGTACATGCCATCCGTAACAACACTGTTCTCATGGCAGGTTTGAGGTTGTGATGGCGGTGCCTATGGAGGGCGCTGTTTTCTGGGGTGATGCCGTGTAGTCCAGAAAAAGTTTACCAGTGTTCTGGAGGAATGTACTACATCTACCTTCAGGGCTCAGGAGAAAGCCAAGCAAGCTGCAAGTGTCTGGCCCTGAAGATGGAGGCAGTATGTTTCTCTGAAACACCAGTAACTTTCTATCAGACGACACGACAGCACATTAGAGAAGACAGTTCTCTTCAGTGCTGTACCTACTGTGGACAGATAATTCTATGTTTTGTAAATGCACAGTCATGAAGTCCATTTCAGTGTTTGACAGCCATTAAGTCCGATTTGAGGTTTCCCAGCAGTGAAAGAAGATTGTAGTCTTGTGGATTATTATGCTTTATTTAACGATGCTGTCAGCAGCTCCCACTACAGTGTCCCATGCCAATGGTTACTGAATAGTGAACTGGATAAATGCTGCGGAAGCACGGGGTCACAGCAAGTGTTTCAGCCAAGACTCCTGATACTGCAGTCTCACACATGGTTACCAACATTCCAGGAAAAAAAATCCCCAAACCACTGGTAGTCACCTATGAAATTACATGGTGTCATACTTCAAATATTTAAATTGTAAGGGTTGGCTTTAAGCAATCCTAACACTGTAACTTCTACAATATAGTGTAGATGAGCCCAGCAACAGGCCTACATTTTGCATGATGTCAGGACCAAAGTTAGTAGGACATTCAGACAGATGCTCAGCTTCATGAAACTGGGGTCCCAAGGGACAAAACCTCAGTCACATGGGAAGTGTGAGGCAATATCATCTGTAATGGCACCTTTCACAGGTGGAAGTATTTATCAGTCATGGTTTGAACAGGGGTCCTTACAAGTGCAAGTGTCCAGTAAACATGTATAATTTTTTTTAATGCTTGTGGGGTGGGACTAAGTCCCTTGTACTGCGGCCACTTCTGGCCTATTGTACCAGCCCCAGATGATAGGTGAGGGTGATTGTGGAGCAACTGGTGGAGCGAAGATTGGCAGGGAAACCAAAGTACTCGGAGAAAACCTGCCCCAGCGCCACTTTGTCCACCACAAATCCCACTTGACCAGACCCGGGATAGAACCCAGGCAGCCACGGTGGGAAGCCAGCGACTAACTGCTTGAGCTATGGTGCAGCCCGAAACATGTATATATAAATCCCAATGCATTCATTTCATTAGAAACTGTATCTGTTCCCTTAAAATTTTTGATCTACTCAATATTTACTAAAATATAATTAAAATGTCACCACACTGTAGCTCAGGTTGCTAGATGCAGACTCCTCACTGCAGAGCCACAGGTTCAAACCCAGGCGACTTCATGCGAGAACTGTGATGGATGTAGTCACACTGCAACAGGGCTGATCTCACTCCCTTACTAATCACCATTCCACCCCTGCTTCATAGTCATTTGCCACAAACCCCTGTGCAGTGTGATGGCATGAACAGGCAGCACATTATCACAGACTCAATCTTTAAGTTGGGGCCTTCATCTCCAACACAGCACTTGGCTGACCACAGAGCGATGAAGATGATTTATAACTGACATGTATTCAGTCATGAAAGATGTAACAGTCCATGTTATCCAATTTCAATCAAAACGTAATCTGACTGATAATTTCCAGTAATGACTCTCAAATACTAAGTTTCATCCATATGTGTACCACCTGAATGATGTCAGGTGCACCAAGTTTTGTACCCATGTTCCATACTTGAAAAGTATTCAAGTGAGCACGCCATCACACAACTCTAGTGCCGATACATGTGTACTGCAGTCCGGTCACTTGGTACATACAGAATTCTGAATTCGCAAACAGTATCTTCCCACTGTGGTCTTCTGGGCTGCAACGCCGTGTAGTCTTGTAGTGGATATCAACATTTCAGAGAAACATTGTTTGCCCATTTTCAGGCTTTCAGAGCTGCAGGAGGAGCTGGTCCAGTCACTATATGCAGGCTGCAAGGAAGGTGGTCGCAGAGACCCACAGGGAAAGAAGCCCAATAAACAAAATGGAACAGTACCCTGAAAATGGAGGCAGCATGTTCCTCCAAAACGCTGGTATCTGCCCATAAGACTACATGGCGTCACAACCCAGAAGAACACGATCTGAACAAAAATCGCCAAGAAAACCTCAAAACTTGTGAACAGTATATTCTTTATGGACAGCAATTTGACATGGACACACAGATTACGGTGTCTACAATGGCTCACATGTTTTAAGTCAGCCAGTATGTGCAACATTTCAAATGCATTTTTGAGCCGTGCAATAATGCACCATTTTACTTGCAGCCAATCACCTCCCTTAATGTTTCTCAGAGGATAAGGAATGCTTTGCCAAGGACAGGAAGTAGTTATGCAACAAAGTAAAACAAAATATAGCGTTAGCATGCAAACACACAAGAGTAATGATCAAAGCTAGTTACAGAATCATGCTCTGAAAAGTTAGGCGCACATCAACAAGAGAACAGGCTTCTGGGATGGGGATCTGCAGAGCAGGCAGAAAGGAACCAACATTTCAGAGCAAACGACTGTTTCCATTTTCACGGTAGAGACTATTCTATTTGGAAGATGCAGGGCCCTCCAAAATGCCGGTACCAGTATATCATATCACATCCAAGAAACCAGCACTCCTGACACCACTATGAGAAATGCAGTCTCACATTCATTAGCATTTAGCATGCTTGGCATCTACACAGCAATGATGCTGTCAGCATCCAGCAGCGCAACACGGTAGGATGATATAAGCATTACACAGGATTTAGAAGGAACCCTAATCATGGCCATGGCCTAATCAAGGTCCTAACCAGGCCTGAGAAAAACTGTGAACATCTGTAAGGCCAACAGATGTCCCCACTGAGATGTTAACTGAGAAGTTCCTGAATACAATCCCAGAACATTACTGCTATACCAATGCATTCAGCCTGAAGAGGCACAGTTCTCAGGGCGTGGTCACGAGGCCCTGATTCAGTGCCATGCACATAAAGAAAACCAGATGGAAATTAAACACATGAAACTTTATAAATTTCAACCTGACTTAATTTCCTATGGGGAGAAGCAGGTTATTTTATGATACTGCAGTATCTCTACAGCATCAAACAGCAGGCTGATAAGCTTGAAAAGGGCTTGGAAGAAAGTAGCCGTGACTTAATTGAAGCACTATCTCAGAAGTTTCCCAGAGGGTCTGACAAACCACAAAATATCCCAGTCAGGACAGCCAGTGTCCCAGCAAAGAGACAAACTGAGAACCTTTGAAACATGAGTCAAGAGCATTACTGATGGACCTACCTGCTTGGTGACTTAAAATTGGCTCATTCATGTATTAGGACTCTTCTCACTAATTCCAACACATCTGTGTGAAGGAAAACTGGACAAACAAATGCTGAAGTCTTCCGCATGTTTCTGAACTGATTCCAACACCCAAACAGCTTGAAGAATGAGTGTTAAAACAATAACTTTTGAAATGTAGTAAGCCCTGTGTCACAGCTCAAGTGGTTAGTCGCTGGCTTCCCATCGCGGTGGCCCGGGTTCGATCTTGGGTCTGGTCAAGTGGGATTTGTGGTGGACAAAGTGGCGCTGGGGCAGGTTTTCTCCGAGTACTTCGGTTTCCCCTGCCAATCTTCATTCCACCAATTGTTCCACAATCACCCTCACCTATCATCTGGGGCTGGTACAATAGGCCAGAAGTGGCCACAGTACAAGGGACTTAGTCCCACCCCACTAGCAATAAAAAAAAAAAAGACCTGTGTAATCAATAATTTGGATCATGATCTCCTGCAATGTAACATCATGCAGGTAGGTAGACAGGTATTAGTGTTTTGGAGGAACATGATGCCTCCATCTTGAGGGTACAGAGTTCTACTCAGAAGATGGAAGCAGCAGACTTCCTCTGAAGCATAGGTACCTATCTACCAAACAACACCACATCACATCCCAGGAGACAGTAATTTTTAATGTGGTTAAGTTTGCCACTGAAACTACATAACAAAATTTAATTCTGCACATGAATCAACAAAAACACTGAAAATGATCAAACAAATAACAGTTCATCAGGACAAGAAAGGCAATGATATGCGACCATGCAACAGAAAGCTGCCTTTTCATACTGGCAATGCATTGTCATTCAGCAGGCACACAGGAGAAAATATTATGAAGCTGCCTTCAATAGCTCATAAAGTATAACGTCAACTGACAGGATGACTACTGAGAAATGAATTGGGTAGGATCTGAAATGAAGTAGATGAGGTTAATGTTGAAGCATTAGCCTGGAATTTCCCTGGTCCGACTGGAAAATACCTTGAAACACCTCAGTCAAGCTAGTCAGTCCCTGGCTGAGATCTGAATCCAGGACTTCTGGAATTGAAACCAGGAGGACAGCCATCCATCTGATCAGTGTCCAGTAAGACTGTGGTCTCATTAGTTATGATGCCCTGTAGTTTCATTTTAGAGGAACGTACCACCTGCTCTACACGTTTCACCGCATATCTCTTGACACCCCAGATGGCATGTCACACAATGAGTAGGCAACCTTACGCAAGGGAAGTCCCGCATACTGAACTGAGATCTCAGGTACAGAGATTTTGGTTCCTGCCATATGGTCAAAACAGAATTCAGTACTTCATGATGTAATGAGCTCTGTCACTACCTCATGGCATTCAAAGAAATGTTTTGGACTCAGTTTGCCAATAACTTCTACGGTATGTTTCAAACAAAGCCCAAGCACACAATCCCACACTAAGTAAAACAGCTTTATTCATAACATTACAGGAAAAGCAACACAAGTTACACAGCAGGTCACATAACTGAGCTACAGCTGTGAAGCCATTCAACGTGCAAAACATGCTTCAAGCCTATGCATGCTCT